TTTGCTTTGGGTGACCCTGCTGGTGTTTGGAATACCAGTGACAAAGCTTCTGGCATCTGAGCAACACAAGCTACCATAATATGACAAACTTCAAATTAAAATGACAAACTTTTTAGGTCTTCCTTACCCATTGTCCAATTTTCTCTTAAAAATGAGGTAATTGAAAAATTGTGCCCTGCGTCAGGAGCACCTTAGTCCTCAAAGTGACACATTTGCTTTTTAGCACATTAAAGAAGTCTTTTGCAGCTGATCTGACCATTGTCATATAGTCTGTGTTCTCAGATTATTTGCTTAATGTACAAATTAAGTAATTATGGTGAAAGGATATAACTGATTCACATGATTGAAAAGACCATAGCTAGGATCTTCTTTGATATCACATGCAAATAAAATGTAGCTGACGATCATCCAGCAGGGGTTGCGGCAGTCCATGGATAGGGAACTGCTAGAGGTATAGGACGGATTCAGAAGAGGATGTGGAACAAGGGATATCATTCCTGATATCAGATGGATCATGGCTGAAAGCCGAGAATACCAGGAAGATGTTTTTATGTGTTTTGTGGACTATGCTAAAGCATTCAGCTGTGTGAATTATAATAAACTGGATATCCTTGAGAAGACTGGAAATTCCAGCATACTTCATTGTGCTCATGTGGAACTTGTGCATGGATCAAGAGGCGTTTGTGAGAAAATAACAAGGGAATACTGTGTGGTTTAAAATCAAGAAAGGTGTGCGCCACAATTGGGTCCTCTCACTAAACTTATTCAGTCTGTATGCTGAGCAAATGAGACTGGATTATATGAAGCGGAATGTGGCATCAGGGTGGGAGAAAGGTTTATTAACAACCTGGGATATGCACGGGACAGAACCATGCTTGCTGAAAGTGAGGACTTGAAGCATTTGCTGTTGAAGATCAAGGATTGCAACTGTAGTATGGATTACAACTCTAGGTAAAGAAAACCAAAATCCTCACAACTAGACCAATAGTTTACATCAATAAAGGGAGAAAAGGTTGAAGTTGTCAAGGATTTCATCTTGCTTGGATCCACAATCAAGCTCATGGACGCAGCCATCAAGAGATCCAAAGATGCATTACATTGGGCAAATCTGCACAAGGTCTCTTTAGAGTATTGAAAATCAAGGATGTTAATTTAGGACTAAGGTATGCCTGACCCAAGCCATGGTATTTTCAGTTGCCTCATATACATGTGAAAATTGAACAAAGAAGACTGCAGAATTATTGGTACGTTTGTATTGTGGTGCTGGAGAAGCATATTGATGGTACCATGGACTGCCAAAAGGACAAACATCTGAATGAAGGCAGAGCAAGAATGGTGGGACTTCGTCATCAGGACATCGGGAGAGACCAGTCCGTGGAGAATATCATGTTTGGTAAAGCAGAGGGGCAGCAAGGAAGAGGAAGACCCTCAGTGGGATGAATTGACACCGTACCTCCAACAGTGGGCTCAAACATAAAACAACTGGGAGGACGGCACAGGCCCAGGCAGTGTTTTGTTCTCTTCTGCATGGGGCCACGATCGTGTTTATAGATCCAGTTAGAAAGAGGTTGGTTTTCCCATGGCTCAGCTTGAAGGATCCTTATCCAGGTGCCTAGAATGTATGTCTGTGTTTAGCTTTCTTCTGATTCTATTCCCAAAATGTTATTGCCTATCTCCCTCTAAAGTATTTGCTTTGAATTAATTTGTATATAATTATGCCTCGCCGCCACCCCCACCCCCAGCATTTAGTACCTGAGGAAGGGATCTGTGAGGTAATACTGTGTAATAACTTACTGGCACCCAGTTGTGAAAGGCTTCATAGCTGAGGAAAGGGTGTGGGGGTCCATTCTGGCCTTCTTTGGCTACCCTACGGAGAAGGGCAATCCAACTCATCACCACACCCAGGCCCATTGTCCCAAGGCAGAGGTCAAACATGTGTCTACCCTCTATTCTTCTCTACCCTGTTGTGACGCTGACCAGTTCTCCCCCAGCGACTTCTCTGCTTAGTTCGATAATCGGTCACAGTGACCACATAGAACTCACAAATGAAATCCATGATTAGGAGAACTTACTAGGGAAATTACCACAAGCCAGGATCAGAAAACATTAAGGTTGCAGTCATTGGTCCACGGCTGCCCCCGTCCTCAGCCAGCAACCAAGTCTCTCTCTTTAGTCCCCAGCATCTCAACTATGTGGTCATTTGGCCTCTGTCTCCGTGGGCCAGGAAGCAGCATAGCCTCTGCTCTGTTCCAGTCGTCTGTGGTCTCAGTCTCCATCACTTCAAATGGGACCTCCAGCGTGCCACAATGCTTCTTCCCTGATGGTCCTGGGAATTCGCCCCCTTCTGAGATAGCTCTCTGTGGAGGTGTGGTTTTTGTCTTTCAGCAGATCTTATTCGTAATATATCCCACCTTAATCTGATAGCATAAGAGAACGCCCACCAAAATGTGATTTTAACCACTAAAGCAGCGGTTCTCAACCTGTGGGTCGTGACCCCTTTGGGGGTCGAATGACCCTCACAAGGGTCATCTAAGACCATCGGAAAACACATATTTATGATGGTCTTAGGAACTGAGACACCGCTCCTCTATCCGTCTCCAGGCAGGTCCACCCACATGCAGATATGCCCACATATGAGAATACCTGGTGTGAACACTGTTACCCATGCTACACCATGCTTCAAGACAAAATTTCATTTATTTGTCATTAGAAATAAATATTTTACAATATCTAATTACATATTGCTTTTGTAATAAATCCAATGCTTTCATTATGTTTAATTTGTAACAATGAAAATACATCTTGCATATCAGATATTTACATCATAAACATAACAGTAGCAAAATTCCATTTATGAAGTAAACAAAAATAATGTTATGGTTGGGGGTCACCACAACATGAGGAACTGTATTAAGGGTTGTGGCATTAGGAGGTTGAGAACCCCTGCGCTAGAGTTTGTCATCACAAAAGGGATTGTGGCTAAAAGGGCTCATTGGCTACATTTCTGTAGCCATTCTAGGGACTTCAGGTCAAGGCAAGTCTTTTTTTTTTTTTTTTAATCAT